GCTAAGCTGCTTCGCTTCTTCTTCTTCTTGTTTACTACTGGTGGTTGGCTTTGGTCGCAGTACCGCCACCTCCTGCTCTGGCGGGTAATCGCTTCTGTAACCCATAAGAGGGTTCACTCCAATTACACCTGGTAATAGTAGATGGTAAGTATGTTAATCACTTCGATGACTGATACCAACACTACACAAGTATAAAGAAAGTGGGGCCTGATCAGAAGATTTTTAATTCACGGGAGCCTAGGCGTAAGCAACAACAGAGGAGAGCACACAATAGCTATAAGAAAGGGTATAATTTAATATAGTGAACAATTGTGGATCCACATTTACAAATAAGCAAAATTGCGTGCTTTAGAAAAAAAAAAAAAAAAAAAAAAAAAAAAACAGAAATAATCCAGCCGTTTCAATGTTTCTATCAAATGTTCACTCAATGCCTCACGGCTAATGACCGGTTGGGTCACCATCAATCAGTTCACTCAGTCCTCTGGGCTGAGGCTCGCCATCCAAGTTCTGAAGAGGAGGATCTTGGGGTGTCTGGGCACTACAGACCAAAAGTGCACCAAAATGGGAGGGGAAAAAAAACCCTGACCTGGAACAAGGCCAAAGTAAAGCATCTTAATATATAGGATGCTAATATCAATAAAACTTAAGCTACAATTCAGAGATCTTTTCTAATCTCTCACGTTTTTTCATATTGTACAACAACATTCATTTAGATCTATATTTCAATCTAAAAGTGCCAATGAAGTACATCAATAACACTATTTTTAACATCAGAATGTGGATTATAAACTCACATTTGCTCTGACCTACTCAGAACAGAAAGTTCCCAAGCAATGCTAACAGTAAAGCACCTTACAGCACCATCAACCATGAATTAGCACCGCTGAGTTATCAGAACATATCCTAATAGAGAAATAAATGCCACTACCTAGAAAAAAATACAACATACACAATAATACAAAAATAAAACTTACAATATCAGTAACAAGGTATTTTATTCAAATGTCAGTGAATTTACTGGGCCAACTGCTGAGAGCGTGCGATCACTCACCGATGCTCTGATGCTATATAAAGCTAGACTTGGAATTTTCCGGATTCAGTCAATCACAAGGGAAGCTTTCTGAGATTTCATAAAACAGATTTACTATTTTGAATGATAAATTTTCAGAAACTATTTTAATATTGTTTTTCCTTACCGATTTTCAAGATTCTTCATCAAATTTGACAAAATTTTCCAGGCTTTTAGTGGAAACAACCGTCAGCTGTGAGCTCTCTAAGCAAAATCTCAGAACAGCAGTTAAAGGGGCGGGACAATCAATCTTATTGGCTGATGTGAAATCAGACTGTGCTAGCTATTCGTTGTTTAATCTGTCACTGAAAACAATTGCTAAAGGCATATATTAAAGTTTTTAAAGATTTTTAGCAGTTTTTATCTATATTTATAAACATATTTATCGACTTATTTTTAACTAAGACATGAAAACCAAACATTTTAAGTAGATCAAGTAGATATAGAAGAAGATATTAATTCAAGATCTATATATACACTCACCAGCCACTTTATTAGGTACCCCATGCTAGTAACGGGTTGGACCCCCTTTTGCCTTCAGAACTGCCTCAATTCTTCGTGG